TATCAATATTTTTTTTAAGTACTTTGGACTTCTAAATCTATGATACTCACTCTGGGAAATAGCCAAAAATTAAATTTAAAATGATTCTCAAAACTCTGTACCAGAGGCAGAGATACAAATTTCAGGCCTCCCAAACAAGTATTTCAGTTGCAGGAAGGGCAGGAAGGGAACAGACTAAACAAGCCCTAAATTTCCTTCTAGCTCTAAATCCTACCAAACTCTTGACAGTGTGAATTACTCCTAATGTCTAGCCCCTAGGATTAATGTCTAAATCCCGTCAGTTACAACTTAAGTTCATTTCCGTTACTTTTATCCTCCGTAGAAACTGAAAAACTGCTCCCATGATTCCCTTATAAATTTCCTTTGGCAAAATGAACCTGGTGGTTTTTACTTGACCTCAGAGAGGGGAGATAAAACACAAAATAATTTTTTTGCTACCTTCTTATGGACTTTGAGTTATTTTACATCATACAAAGTTAAATGATACAAAAATTAAACATATGCCTATGTAATATTTAAAAAAATAACCAAATTTTATACATTAGTCTCCATGATAGCATATTCTAGCATCTAGTTTGCTTTGAAGACATATTTATTTAGAGGTCCAGTAAAAATCTATGTCTTTACTGGCTCTATTTGCAAGTCAGATTCCATCTAATATTCTGGTCCCAAAATGAAGTTGTTCTGTGCTTAAAATGAAGTCTTTTTCAATACTGAAAGTCAACATACAAATGTGTATGTGTGCATGTCAATTTCACTTTGTTTTTTAAATGTCAGCTAGCTACCATTCCTATTGTGAACTTCATCAATTCATAAACAAAGACAATTAAAGATGAGTATCAGCCAGTTCTACTTATGATGCTTAAAAGAAAAACCATGATTGAGAACAGTTATTTGGAACATTAGCATTTAGAAAAGTAACACTGTGAGTTTACAATGTCCGAACCTGAATTTATTTTTCTTCCTCTTTTTTTCTAGAAACTTCCATTGTAAGTCCTCAACTGCTATGCCAGCATGGCACAATCTCTACCAAGATGAATTGAGTAGAGAGGTTCAGCAGTAACAATAACAGCTGGCATTTCTTTAAAAAGCGCTTTGAGGTTTGCAAAGTGTTCTCACTTAAGCAACAGAGAGAATATGAATGTTGATCAACGGGAGGACCAGTATGGCTAAGTACCCAGAGGTTCATCACCAGAAGGTTGGCTACTAAGTGATGAAATTTTTGGCTACAACTACAAATGAAACCCTTATTAAAGAGAGGACAAGGAAAGAGGTCAAGAGAGTGCCCATCCTAATGACATCACAGGTCTTTTCAAGTAATGAAGTTTCTCTACAAAATGAATCTTTTCTGAATGAATGCTAAGTCAGTCTCTTCAGTAACAACTTACTGATCTCACTTTTAAAGTAATTTTGAGTTTAAGACAAATGATTTATAGACTGGAATTTGAGTTTCTTTGTTTTTCTAACTGCCTGAATAATTAGTTCAAATAACTTTCCTAAACCAATCCATTTTTGCTCTCTTCAATTTCTGTCTCTATGGTGTTCCTTAGTGAAATATTGCTCATCAAATATTCAGATCTGTGTTGTTAGTATTGCAAAGCTTTTCAGAAGGATGCATTCCAAAAAATTAACATGTAGCACAGCAATGGTGCGTTGTCATGGACACTTGGAAAGTTCCAGACATGTGCTTATTTCACCCAACAGACCAGAAATGGGCAATTTCATCAATTTATACAGGAGCATTATCATCCTTTGGTCCAAATCTGGTGCATTAGGTTATCACAGAATCAAGCCAAATAACCAAGAGGGCCAAGAAAACTGGAAGCAAAACAAACCTTGATTAAAAAAGGGCACAAAATATTTCTCTTGAAAAGGTCATTTCCCTTCTGACACACAAAACAGCTACTGTACTGTGCTGATCTCTACAATAGTTTCATTAATCCAAGGATCTAATAGTGTCTTATAAATATCAATTAAACCTGACAACATCCCAATTTATAAACAGGGAAACTTGGGCGTCCAAAGACCGAGTTGCCTAAAGCCCCAGAATGAGTCAGTGCCAAAGCTGGAACTAGACCCGGGAAGCTAAGATTCCAGGCCCCCGCCCAAGCCAGTCAGAAGCACCTTATCTTTCAAATGGATAAAAAATTCATGTAAGTAACATACAGCTGGTATAAAGCTATTATACCTTTATCCCAGGAAGAAAACAGACTGAAGAGAAGGTCAAAGCTTGGTCCTGCCTGAAATGTCTAATCAGATGATGGAGAAAACTATTTATCCACTTCTTTAATGAAAGACAGAGTTCATCACCTCCTTATGAAAGAGTATCCCATAAGGTACTCCCTCAAAAATCTTCACAACATTAGAAAGGGCTTAAAAAAAAAAACCCTGTTTTTCTTCTTTGATTTTTTTAGATTTCAAAGAAAAAAAAAGGAAGGGGGAAAGAGGAAAGAACAAAGGAAGCCTCTGGAAAGTCTTAAATAAGGATCTAAGTCCACCTGGCTAGGATATTTCTTAAGTAAAAAGACTGCACAGGTCATTCAGGCCAGCAGTCCTTCCCTCCCCAGCAATGTCTGAAAGAGTGGAGCAGCCCAAAGAAATATCCCCATAGCTGCCTATGGGCAGCAGCCTATGGGGAAAATGCCCTATGGCATTTTCTGCTGGGTGGGGTTATGTATTTGAGAGAACTTATCAGAACAGTAAAACAGGTACACAGGAGTTCAAAGAACAAAGCAACCTTCTGTAGTTTCAAGTAAGGCTGAAATGAAAATACCAGCTGCCACAAGGACCTGGCAGCCAGGATCAGTTGTGCCCAGTTATAAAAGCTTTCAGCTCGTTGGCTTACTTGGGTTCAGTAAGGTCTGTACAAATTGTTAGTATGGGTGAACAGGATAGAGCCTGGGTAGTGCTATTAACATACTTCGCCCATCAGAAATACAAGATCATTTGAGGCCCAACTCAGTTAATCCTTTTAGCTGACACATTTCTCTGCTAAGGATGGACTTTTTAGTTGATCCATAAGATGATACAACAAGGAGGTAGTTAGCTATCTAATCCAACCCTCTGGTTTTACAAATGAGGAAATGCTGGAGTCAGGAAGACTCATCTTTGTGAGTTCAAATCCAGCCTCAGACACTTACTAGCTGTGTGACCCTGTGCAAATCCCTTAACTCTGCTCCTCATCTGTAAAACGAGGTGGAGAAAGAAAAGGCAAATCATTCCAGTATCTTTGCCAAGAAAATTCCAATTGGAGGTACAAAGAGTCAGACGAAAACTGAAAATGACAACAAAAATGACTTGCCCAAAGTCATACACATAGTAGGCAACATTTGAACCATAAAGTCCTGGGACTCAGGGCTATGCTCTTTTGATTCCTCCTTTAGATCAGTGATATGAAATACAAATAAAAAAGAAAGCCACTAAATAATACTCAAATATAAATATACTAAATATAAATAAATAACAGGGATTCTTTCTCTGTGGGCCACATACTGACTTAAAATGTAACATTATCTGTTTTGTTGTATTAGTATTTATTTTGGTAAATATTTCCCAATTATATTTTAATCTGGTTCTGGCTATGCTCTAGCAACTAGAACTGACTGTGTGTTTGACCTCTACTTTAGATGACATTTATATAGCACCCTGAGGGTCCTGTCCTTTCCTTCAAAACATCTTCAACTGACTTTATCCTTACATGAATTCAGCCCAAATGGCAATCAATTCTGTCCCTAACGCCTTAATGCTAATTTTTCACCTTTTTCCTGGGAGATGAGATCTGCCCATATCAGTACACTAGACATCTGATTTGGGAGTAAGAAAACACCCAGAGAGAGAAAAGTGCCAAAAGCAAACAATCACCTATTTGAGAATTTTGCTAATGGCTGGTTTTCGAAGCCCATTACTCAAGAAATCTCCAGAAACACTGCATCTATGTTAACTAGAAGCTAACATCTCTTTAATAGGTACCAAACCATTTCTAATTTTCCTTCTAAATCTACTTGTTCTCTTCTCTGCTCTGATTATCCTCTACCCTACTAACCTCAACAGGCATCTCTATTTCAGGTCACCTTCCATTTCCTTGGAGTCTTTGGTTTTCCACCCACTCAGGCTATTCTAGGACATTGCCCAGATATGTGTGCTCTTTAACATTTTAGTTTTAGTTTCTGTATTCAGGCTCTTCACAGAATGACAAGTTCTGATTCACTTCTGCCCATCCTTAACTCAAAGTTTCTACTTTCAGTATCATACACCCAGAAGATACAACACAACTACTAATCAATCACTGATTGACCTATATGTGATACCCTTTATGAAGAAGAACCCCAACAACTCACTGTGTCGCTGGGATGGATGGGAGAGAGCATGATGCATAAATTTCACTTCCATACCATTTTATATATTACTTGGCCATCAAGTCATAACAGGCTTTTTTTTTTTCTCTTTTTCACAAAGGATAAAAATAGTTTGCTCTATAACTATTTTCGCAAATGATTTCCCCCTTTTTTTGCAAAAGCACCTCCCCACATTCTATAACCCATCTTCATTCTCCTTTCCCAATCTCTTACCCCCTCCCCCCACAATTCTCATTCTCCCCAACAAACTCCTCCAATTTCCACATTTCCCTTTCCCCCAAACCGTTCCCTCTCTCCCCCAACTGCCCCTTTTTTTATTCTTAGTATCTTCCCCTTTCCTGCCCTGCCCTGCCCCGCCCCACCCCCCATCCAGCTCACACTGCCCCCCTTCCCAATCCTAAAAGACTTCTCCTTCCCCCGTCTCCCCAACAATCATTCCATTCCCCTCTTTCTTCTGGGCCCCCTCCCTAAGCTGCCCGCCACTTTGCCCTCCGGTTCTCCATTTCCCCCACTGAGCGCTCCCCTCGTCTCTGCGGTCCCTCCCCACCCCCCCTTCGCTTCCTCTCGCCCTCCTCCGGCAACCCCTCCCCCCAGGAGCCCCTCCCCCTGCACGCCCCCTCCCCCGGCCGCCCCGCGCGCACGCACTGGGTTTTCCGTCGGCCCTGGTCGCGGTGCAGCTCCCGAAGGTCCACTTCGGTTCGGCCGAGGAACTTGTCGAGGCCGAGCAGGGCGCGGTGCAGCACGGTGAGCTGCAAGGTGGCGGCGTTCCCGGGCACAGCTGGCAGCCCCAGCGGCGGCAGCTCGAAAGTGGCCTCCTCCCGCCACACCGGCGCGCCCAGGCTGCGCTCCGACACCGAGGTGGCGTACTTCTCCTTGCCCACCTGGATCAGCGCGTACGCGTCGCTGGTGCCGCCGGGGCCCTTGGCCCGCAGACCCCGGGCCTGAAGCACCGTCACCTGCACGTGCGTCGGGGACCACGCGGCCCCCAGGCCCCGGCCCCCAGCCGACAGGGACATGATGCCGACGCTGGGGCTGATGTCGGCGGCGCCGCCTCCGCCGCTGCTCCCCCTACCTCAGCCTCCGGTGATTCTGGCTCCCAGGGTCACGGCCCGCGGTCCCTTTAAAGCTTACGGCCCCGCCCCCGCACGGGGCCCCGCCCCCCACCTGTCCGCGCGCCCACCGCGGTATCTCCGGGAACTTGTTTTGGACCCAAGTGACCCCGCCCCCTCCTGGCTGGCTGAGCCTGGGCAGGGAGGGCGCCCCGGGAGGAGCAGAGAGCGGGAGTAACGAGAGCTGCCTTAGACAGCGCGCCCTTCGGAACGGCCTGAGGGGCAAGCTTAGCTCCTTCCGCGCGGGGAGAAGCATCCTTGGGAGAGATTCGAACCCGGACTTCTTCAGCACCGATTCCTTCTCCCAGACTGGACTGCACGTGGTTCAGGGCAGCTCGAATTAAGATCTCTATTCAGGGCTTGCCATGTGCCCGTATTTTCATTTTTCATCTAAGTAGTTATCATGGAGGGAGATAGAAAAGAAATAGAAGAAATGGGCACTGCCCTCCAGGACTTCATACAGTGAAGTTGGGGAAATAGACATATATGCAGGAAATGCAGGAATCCGAAACTCTCAATTTCTGGCATTCTCTGCAAAGTGATCTTTCCCTGAAAGCCCTAGTCAGACGCCTGAAAAGCATCATCTGCTTGTGCTCTCACTGTCTTGAATTCAGCTTGGTCCCCACAGTCGATAACATCCCAGTGATTTCCCCTGAACCCCAGTCTAGGTAGCTCCCTATGAAAGCCAAGAGCTTCCTGCAGCTGAAGCCGGTAGGAAAAAGCAGCTGCTCCCAACCCCACGCTGGAGTCAGGCTGAGAAGCTGACTTACACTGTAGATCACCCACTCCCGGACAGATTTCCCAGGAGGAAGATCTTACAGAACCACAAGGCAGTGGGAAAGGAAATCAGGTCATTTGAGCCTATGCCCTGGAGAATCTCCTGTGATCTCTCTAGGAAAACGGGAGTGTGGTTGGTGTTTTTAAAACCAGAGGATTATCTGGAAGGATGTGTTTATGTGATAGTAGTTGGCTCCCTTGTGTGACAATGACAGACTTGGGGCCTCTGAGAGACAGTCACAGAATCATAAAGTTTGGGGTTGGAAGGGACTTGAGAACATGGAATGTAAGAGCTGGAAGGAACCTCACAACACAGAAAGTTATAACTGATGTTTGAAATAATCTAGACTCATTTTTATAAACTAGGAAACAAGCCCTACAGGGGTAATTAATTGGAAAGCAGTGTTATTTGGTGGGGAAAAAATTGGCTCTGGAGTCAGAGGTCCTGGGTTCAAATCTCATTTCTGATACTACCTATTTTTACCAGCCTTGAAAGGTTAGAATCTTTGACTACTTCTGTTCCTCCATCATACAAGAACCATTGAATTTTACAACCTAGACAAGGTTACAAATTTGTCCCCGTTGTGTATGACTGAATACAAGCTTCTGAACTTTTAATAACACACAATAGATTTGACATACTGTATACTTTAGTGTTATGATGGATCTCTAATTCCCTCCATCAGTACAGATCAAAATCAGTCCAGAGCTTATCATGTATAATTCTTGTTCACAGAGAATCTACTAGATATTCTGGAGGCTTTTCCCAAAGCTTTTTTTTTTCCTTTTTTTCTTTCTTTTCTTTTTTTTTTTTACACTTCATTGGTACCCCAATGCTGTCCATTATGTCTCTTGCTTCAACTACATGACCTTCCCACATTCTTTATTCTATTCCCACACATTTCTTCTGTTATTTATACATGAAGGAGCTGAACATACCAGCATATTACTAGTGATGAATTATGTAACATTGAAAAGGTATTATAAGTCAAGATTTAGAGCTGGAAAGTACCGTAAAGTCCAACTCCTTTATTTTACTGATGAGAAAATCAAGGCCTGGAGTGGTGAAATCACTTGCCCAAACTCACATAAATAGTAAATGGCAAAGTCAGGATTCAAGCCTAAATCCTCTGATTCTAAATCCATTTTTCTTTCCACTATACCAAACTGCTGGTCATGTAGCAAGAGGAAGGAATAACAAATGGACAGTTCCAGTGCTGCACTGGTACCTGTATAATGTCAAGGAACATAAAGGGAGACCCCCAAAATTTTGAATGTGCTCCTACAGGGAATTTATAGGGGCTCAGATAGAAGAGTGGAAAAGGATAAGAAGGAATGGATGAGTTGTGATCTGCACCACTGGAGGAAGTGTCCACATCAATGAGCTCAATCCTTCAATGTATATGAGAAGTATCCCTTTTATGATTTTTAAATTTTTCTTTTTTATTGTGAATTTATACAAAGAACAGAAAATGAAGTTTGTTTATGAAACTTTGAATTTATTTATATTTTTGGCTTGATATATATATTAAATTTGCACAGTAATAACAGAACTACCCCACTTGTCTATGTCTGATTCTTTATGCTACTTTTTGTAAATAAATCATTCTGGAAATTCACAGCAGTCTACTTGTGCCTACCATTTTTTTTCTCCATTGCACTTTGGGACACCCAGTTAGATTCTTCAGAGACTGTGTTGTTCCAGAATTCACACCAGACAGCATCATTGGGAGAACACTTCTTTTAAAGAGATGGGTTTTAAATCTGAAGTTTTACTTCATATCCTGCAAATTGGCAAAGGTGACAAAAGATAGTTCAGTCAGTGTTGGAAGAATTGTGGAAAGATGGGCGCAATAATGCATAGTTGGTGGAGCTGTGAATGGTCCAATCATTTCAAGAAAGCAATTTGGATTTGTACTAAGAAAAAAAATTTTTTTAATTATCTTTAACCCAGAGATTCCACTGTTGGTCACATACCAGGGGTTCAATGACAAAAAGGCCCATTCGTACAAAAACATATATAGGAGCATTTTTTTGTAGTAGAAAAGAGGTGGAAACAGTAGATGTCCATCAATTAGGAGATGGCTAAACAAATTGTGGTACTTACATATAAAAAATATCTGTCTATAAGAAATGATGACTATAGTGAATACAGGAAGCAACTTAAAAACTGTCTAGTCAAAGTAGGAAAAGAAGAAAGATGCTAAGGAGACAGTTTCTCCCTTTTATACATCTATTATGTTATCAATTTTTTTGGCTCTGGAGCCAATTACAAGATTTTATCATCTCAAAGCAAAGCCCTTTATTCTTGAGTCACACATGGCCAAAGTTCCCTTGTAGTTTAGCAGCACCAAGAAGGACAACTGCTCTTGGAATGGCCTTCAGTATATTCATAGGCCGAGTGCTTCAAGGACTGAGATGATGGAGTCCAAATCTGGTGGTATCAGTATCATGGGTGATGAAAATAGCTTATTATAGAAATGTAGATAAATTAATTCCATTTTCCATCTATCTGTTGTCAGTTTTATCTATGAATGCTCTTGATATTATATAACTCAGTTAGGGCTTACACCAAAACTAAAGATTTATTTTTTCTACCCTTACATTGTGCTATTTTAGGAAGTGGTAGTGATCATAATCTTCTGTGATTCTGTTCTGTGGTATTTTGGTTCCTATATCTACTTGGCAAAAAGATCAAGTATTTTCTGACTAAGGTAATTTCCAGGCTCTTTGGTCCTCCTTGCGGTGACTCTTTTATATCAGTTAAACTTTTCAAGGAAATAATGATGATTCAGGTCAATACTTGGCTCCATATAAACTACTCATTTGAATAGATCTAGTTAAAGCTGTTGCGTTTGTTCTCAGAGTTATCTTTTTTTTTCTTCTAATTTGATGTGGATTTTTGACATTTTATTTAATTAGTTGATGGTCTGATAACTTGCAGACAGATGACTGTCATAAGCCCCCACATCAATAACCAATTATTTCCTGTCTGTCAAGATAAAGTTGATTTTTGCTACCCACAGAAGTGCTGTTATGACAACTTTGGTATAAATGGCATTTCCAAAATAGTCATAGCAGCACATTTTAGTGGCAGCTAAAAACTGGAAAGAGAGTATACAGTTAATGTGTTGATTGATTTTGCTGAAACAATTTTTAAAAATTTTGTCACAAGGGATGACTCAATACGTTAAGAAGAGTACAAGAATATATTCAGAAATGAAGCTAATATAAAAACAAAAAGTAGCATCTTTTGAGTTACTGTCCTTGCTTCCCCTCTCGATCCTTCACTTTTGTTATCAAGGCTACCCAAGTCCTCATTTTCCCCTGTCTAATCAATCACTTCTTTCATTCAAATGTTTTTACATTTATTCATGCCTCTCCATTCCCATTGCCACCATCCTAATCCAAGCCTAGATTTCAAGTTTCTTAATTGATCCTCCTACCTCTAGTCTCCACCTCTACCTGCAATCCAGCCTCCATACTGCTACTTAATTAAACTTTTAAAAACTTTGCTCTCAACCTGTTATTCCTTTGCTCAAACCTTCAATTTAATTCCAGCTAGATTGAAAAATGAATAAATAAATAAGTCATTTATTAATGGCTCTTCATTTGTCTATTACATCAAACCAAGGAAAACTATGATTGAGAGGAGCTCTAGTGATCATCTAGTCCATCTAGATGCACCTGCATCTTGAATACCTTCTACAACATCCTTGATGAATGGTCAATTAGAAAACTTTTAGTGATGGACAGCTTACTACTTCCAATGATCACCCATTCTACTTTAGAACAATTCTAGTTATCTGTTATACCAAACTAAAATCTGCCTTGCTTTAACTCACACCCACTGTTCTCACCTGCCTGCTGCCCTCTAGGGCTAAGCAAATTACAGAGAGGTTGATTTCAGTTGGATATGAGGAAAAATTTGATAATTAGAGTTGAACAAAATTGGAATGGGCTGTCTTGGGAAGTCAGAATTCCTCATCAATGAGATCTTTACCTAAAAGTCAAATGACCAGTTGTCAGGGATATTATAGTACTAGAAGAGATTCCTGTTCAAATACAGGTAGGACTGGATAACATCAGAAGTCCCTTCTAACTCTGAGATCCCTTGAATCAGCTCAGAACCATTCAGACTCCTC